ATGTATATATATATATATGTATATGTGTGTATATATATATATATATAATGTGTGTGTGTGTTTATATATGTATATGTGTGTGTGTGTTTATATATATGTGTATATGTGTATGTGTGTATGTATATGTGTATGTGTGTATATATATATGTATATGTGTATGTGTATATATATGTGTATATATATGTGTGTATGTATATGTATATATATATGTGTATATATACATATGTATATGTGTATATATACATATGTATATGTGTATATATACATATGTATATGTGTATATATACATATGTATATGTGTATATATACATATGTGTATGTGTATATATACATATGTGTATATGTATATATATGTGTATATGTATATATGTATATATGTGTATATGTATATATGTATATATATGTATATATGTATATATATGTGTATATGTCTATGACTTTTTGACAACACAGTACATAGTATAATAATAGTACTTCGCTAATTCATAATGCAGACAAAGAAAACAAAACGCTGTGTTCTTGTGGTTTGTGGAGTGAAAAAACGATCAAACCGTTACTGAAGTGTTTTGCATCTCATGGTCCCGTGTATGTGACTAGATAGGATTAGGGGGAAACCTTCTGCTTTTGTTTTACAAAAAGCCATTTAGAATGACCATGTGAAGCACATGAACAGCTTTCAGGACATCACAACAGACTCAAGATGTCTAACAGAGTCCTAAAAGCCAGCTCTCATTGTGCATTGTGTTCTGTGTCCCAGTGTCCGTCCACCCGCTGTCTCTCCACCGTGTCCCACTCCGAGGACGGGAACCTCATTTACACCGGCAGCCTGGGCAGCGCTGTTCGAGGTGAGTCACTTTCACCTTGTTACAACTTTGTCTTGTTTTGCTGTGTGTGATATGGGAGAGGTTGCTGGTCTTTCCCTCAGGGGACCTGGTATACCATACATGACATTATTAGTCCATAGGCCAGAACAGATACAGGCACCAACACCTTACCGGCACTACATTTATTATCAGGTCAATCTAAAATGCATTATGTTTGAGGTGATCATATCAGTAGATCACAGCAGCTACAAGCTGAATCTTGATGACGTTCATTACTCTGATGATACAAGTCTGTTGTCTGGCTCGGTCACTTACGTTCGGTAAACTGCATTCAAGTGAAACTTTGTTTGAAAAAAAGGCGGTCAAGCCGACCGCTGCTTGGATTCTGATTATTATGTATTGATGGTGTTTCGGTGCGGGTGCTTGGAGCAGCCAAAAAGGACGAAAAAGACCCAATAATTCAAAAACAAGAGCAATATTATCAGTTTCTAAAGGAGAAGCACCAAGTGGGACTACTGTACACAAATATAGTTCTACATTTAGAGTCAAAGCAACTACTCTAAATGTACATTTCATACGTTATAACCTAATTTGCAGTTTGGCAAACCTTCTGTTTCTGCTTGAAACTGCAGGTTTGGGGATATGTTACTCTGCAGTGAGTGACGGGTCAACTTAATGCTGAACATGCAAACATCAGAGTGCTGCAGGAAGGAGTTCTAAACCCTGCACATGTCTCCAAGTCAATGCTTTTTAATGTATTCTTGGTTAGATGCCTGAGAATAGGTTGTGGTTAACGCTTTGTTCTTTGATGTCAAATACATCAGTAAATAGCCCTCTGATGATGATTGAAGGTATTAGTGTTAAAGAAGGCAGCGTATAACAAGACGCCGTTACAGCCACTGCTCCGCCTCTAGAGCCTCGTGATGGCTCATGGGACCGTTGTATTCTATATATAGCTTACTGTTAGCTTTTTATTTCTGGCAATTGCATTCATGCATTAAATCATAAAAGTAATGTTCATTTGTGAGGATTATCTTGCTGAACAGAAAGTGTAACTAACAGGAAGCTTTTCTCTCTTGTCAGGCGTGAAACTGTTTTCCTACAGCACCAGCGGGACCAGCCTCTTCCTCGTGCCCCACACCCTCCTGAAGACCGGACTAGTGGTCCAGAGCTTTGCCATGAAGGCCACTTTCTGTGGAGTCATTGGATTCTTCACCTTCCTCACCCCTGTCCTCCTCCACCTCATCACCAAGGGCTACGTGGTCCGCCTGTACCACAACCCGGACAGAGACACCTACACAGCCGTCACCTACAGCGTCTTCCTCACAGAAAAGAAGAGTGTGTTCCACCAGAGGCAGGTCAGGATCCCAGCTGTCAGCCAGATGTTCACCAGCTTCTATGCTGGTAAAATGGGGCTCCTGGTAAACCCGGACATGTTCCCCGTTCCACAGGACTACAACCACCTGATGGGCTACGACAAGCCCTTCAGCTTTGACACAGACCAAGTAAATAAACCTGATGAGAGCTGAACTGTGCTGGTGTAGCAAGGATCTCTCAAACAATATTTTGATGGATATTTCATGTTAATAAATTATATCATCATTAACCTGTTTGAAATGGTTATGGTTTTCTCTCTCTCGCTCTCTGGAAAGTGTTTTCTTTTAAAAATGTGTTCATGTTTTCAGACGTTGTGTGTAGGCAACATTTCCATGTATTAATAACATATTTTCTGAAGTACAGTGTCATTTCCTGTCTAAAGCTGGGGGCAAACATCAGGTTAGTCAGTAACCTATATCAGCCAGTGTAAGATCTGTGCTTATACTCTACTGGTCATCCCATTAGGAAGTCTTGGCAATTTAAAATCAGTTGCCGTCTAGGGTGATGAGATTGAGGCAACACATTGGTCAAACACATTTGTCTTTCAATTATCTTACAGCTCTTTGCAAAGCATCAATTATTTTTCAAGATAATTAGAAAAGCACAAAGAATGAGAACATTTACGCAAAGTTTTATAACATGAAGAAACATGATGCTACAGTGGGTTATCAAACGGAAATATGCGTGTCAAACAGCATGCCATTACACAGCAGTGCAGTCAAAGGAATACAAATGCAATACAATCAAATGTCAGGATGTATGCCATAGTTTTGTATGTGGGTAACACATTCTTTTCCAGAAACGTCATCCTACTTCATCAAAATCAAAGACAGTCCTTTCAGTCCACCCGAAGAGCAGCCGCCCCCCTTCAGGAAGAGGCTGGCTTCAGTCCTCAACGTGGCCCCACACATACTAAATCTATATCTTTAACACTGCGGAATCCTTTCCAAACATGGATGAAAATAAGACTTTCTCAGTTATTTGGGTAATTGTAATTCCTAACATGCCGCCAGTAGATGCTGATTCCTAAGTGTAACAGTGTACGAGCATTTTGGCAAGTCACTTGTGTTGCTTGTTACTTGCCGTCGGACGAGATGATCAGTTTCTTTTTTATCTCCCATTTCATCATACCTCATCCAGCACAGAACGGTTCTACGTTTCCACCGTAGAACCGAGACTGGATGCAGGGGGAAACTTCTAGTCTAGGTCCATCACAAATTACAACAATACACCTTCCTAACACAGCTGTACTCAGTTCTCTATCGCCTCAGACCTGTTCCACTCGTGTGGATGTTTTGACTTGGACTTGTTTTGATCTCAGCCTCCGGTCAAATCTTTGGTCTCGACCGGCCCAAGATCAGTTAGGTTTATATATTTTTTTTTTTGTGGACAGCACGGCTGGCTACTATCTCAGCACACTGGAGAGCGGCCAGATCCCTTTATTTCTTATACTATTCTGAGTAGTGCAGATACTGATAATGTTCCACTGAAAACCAACGTTCTGTCTTAACTTGCACTCGATCCCCTTGTGGACTTGGTATTGAATTTATCTCAAAACCCAAACGTCTCAGCTGAAAAAGCGCTGACAAGCGCCTCCAGCTGGGCTTTAGGAAAAGAACCTGGAAAAAAGAGCTTTGGTGGACACAGCGTCTTCTGAACCAACCAACGTCCTGTCCTCACAGTGGGATGTCAGGTCTGGGCTCTGTCGTATCTCTGCTGTCAACAAAGAGGGCTCTTGGATGGAACTTGCCAGTCAAACATTTGGTGGAAGGTGTATCGGTTCACTTGTGATTGAGCTAGGCTAGCATCCAATCTTTGTGCTAACCACGGCTAAAGTCATCCCTCAACTGTCTCCATACTGAACCAAGATAAACTTCCTCTTACTGACTCTTGACCTTGAGTCAGATGGCACACAAGAAGATTTCCAAAATGTTGTAATAGAAACCTTACGGCCCGTGGTTTCCCTTTTAGATAATAGATATGTTTTTGCACACTAGCATTGCTAACATAAGACAAACTCTACCTCAGAAATCTGAAAAAGCAAAACAAACCAGTGAGTCGAGCTCTTGTGGCCTGACAGGACTCAGTTTATTCTTCAAAAGCTGAACCTCCCCCTGAACTCATTTGGCATCAGAAACAGTAAAATAAAATATGCAAAGTTTCAGCAATCAATGCTCAAAAGTCATCAAGAGATACTTGTCAGTCACGTAGATGCAAAAACAAAAGTGTGACATTAACTTTCCGGCCGTAGTCCAAATGATGCGCACAAAGTGATGATGGCTACATCTCCTTCACTCACACACACACACACACACACACACACACACACACACACACACACACACACACACACACACACACACCTTTAAACTAAGGCAAAATAATTAAACGAGATTTATTATAAAGAGAATGAATGAGCATTGGACGTGGATGATTAGTGTGATTAATGGATCAATGTTACAACATTGCCATCATTTTATGAAATACAGGCATTCAAATATGAAACTATAAAAATAAATAAACGTATACAAAGTAAGAACTTTCATGAAAAAATATATGACTTAAATATAAATTAATTAATTAATAACAAATTAAATAAATAATATTTAAAACATAAATAAATGCTTAAATAAAAGGTAATTGACACACTCACACATCCGAAGCCTGCCACCTCATGGCGCCGCTCTCTACACCATCTGAAGGCCGTCATCCTGTCCCACTGTTCGTTGTAAATAAAGTTAAAATAAACTGCTTCACCTTTCCACACAGGCTCTGCCAGGCAGCACTGTGCCCTGTGCTTTAATACCAACGCTGTAATGCCATGGTTGTCTATTGTCCATAAAGTTTTGAAATACACCACTCGGCACTCGTCGGGGTTCCACAGGCAGTGACCTCACTACTACTCCCTATGCTTAGAAAACTACATACATCCTAACGTCATGTGTCCGTGTTGCTGAGAGGGGCTCAGATAAACCACTCCTTCTTGCTCTCGTCGATGGTTTCGGTGAAGGCCGGGTCGTTGACGATAATTGCTGCGTCAGCACAGTCTGCTGACTCAGCTCCCTTGGCCTCATTGGTGTGGTAGGAGCCTTTATGACGAAACATGTGACGGATCACAAACACCATAATGCAGAGGACAGTGAAGATCACCATGGAAATGATACCTGGAAACAAAAGAAATGAGCATGTCATTGATAACCGACTGGAAGATGATGTCATCACACAGTGTTACTCCTCACGATCAGTAAACTGACCATGTGTCAAATCAGTGGAGAACCCCGGCACATTTCAGAAAAAGAGCTGCAACTACATCAGCCTTTTTTCTTGTCTCCATTGAGCTGTAGTCTAAAGTGTAGAGCAGGTCCTTATATGATCTAAAGATGCCCGACCCCATCTGGAATGGATCAATGAAAACCTTCTAGAACCTCTTGTGCATAGTTTATTTTCTTTAAACTGACAGCTAACTCGAATAGGCCGAGCACAATGAGAGCAGATCTAAAGAGACAGACCTAAACAATGAGAGGAGACGAAGCAGAAGCACAGCAGTGGTAGGGAAGTAACACCACATGATCAGTGCTGAGAGAGAGTTAGCCCCTCAAACATACAACAGGACCCTACTAGACTGAATGTAATTCAGACAGCTATAGTGTGTTGCTAAGTTAAAGTCAACAATATGCCACGTAGCACAGTAAAGCAATGACACAACGAGCCGTGAGAACACAGTTTGTGATTTATGTGAACCCAGCTGGAGACCAAGATGAGGAGTTTGTGTTGTTTCGGGTTATGTACGGATGCTGCCTCGGTGTGTTGGTGCGCATTGTTCTGGATTGTTTTCCATCAATAAAGCCCCACTGACCGAGACACGACATGCCCAGACAAGTTCTTACTTTTGCATCTTTTCTCTTTTAATATACAAGTGACACGTTATAATATACTTGTTTTAACATGCTCTTATTTGTTTACCATATTTTATTGTAAATTTTCATTTTTTCTATTTTAAATAATGTCACACTGTGTATTACTCTCGCACCAATCACAAAGCCAAATTCCTTGTATGTGTAATGTACTTCTGATTCTGATCTGATTCTGGTTTATTTGCTTTGGCCAACAAAGCAGCAGCAGAAATAAAGAAAGCAAACTGCTTTAGATGGATGTCCATTTGTGTCTGGAGACCGCAACATGACATTGATGCATTCTCGTGGGAATTGGGATGTTGCTCAGATCTCTGTCAAGTGTATCGTCCTCTGTATCTACATACTGTATTTGATTACTATGTATTTCTATGTTTATAAACGTTCTGTTTACTATTAGGATTGCTCCTGTCTGAGTGTTAAGACAAAAACATCTGTCTTCTGTTGATGTAAACAGTCACATTTGGGGTTTCAACAGTTTTAAGGACTGGTGCGAGCTGCAGCTCTAGCTGGAAGCCAAATGAGATTTACCTCCAATTATGGCAGAGTTGCGATCCACTCCATCACCACCAGCCTTGTCCTCCTTAAAGGGGAAAACAGCTCCAGCTGTGGAGAAAACATTTGTGATCTGTTTGAACTCTGACATCATCCCCAGACTTTTGGATTTTTAATGTTCCATTAAACTGTATTCATTCAATTCAAAGTGGCTTCATTAGCATGTTGCCAAAGCATCAAAATACAGAAGTACACAATAATAGTAACACAACATTACAATTGTTATATAATAATGATATATATATACAGTGATTTAAATACATTTGTACACGTGTGTGTGTGTCCCTCAGGCTGTGGCATGTTGATACATACTGGGCAGGAAGATATGCCTCGTCTACTTCTCCACGGAGTATTTTTAATTTTGAAATCACGGATTACAGAGCTGAATTTGTCAAAACAAATGCTCCTTATTTCATTCAATGTTTTACGTTTTAAGGGGAAGTCTCAGAATAGAATATGTGGTCACTGTGTTTGACAGGTGAGGACCTGTCAAACACAGTGACCACATATTCTGTTTTCTTTTGGTGGCCATGATGTCCAGTTTGTTGTCACTGAGCCTGTTCTTGGTGAGGATCTGTCTCTACTTTCTATCTCTGACAGACGAGAGATATTCTGCCAAATCATCATAATCATTTCTTTACGGCCAGATTATATTATATGTTTAATGTTTCTGATGTTCTAAATAGTTTCCTTTAAATTGCGTTACATGTTGGTTTCCTCTGATTGTTTGTAGCAGTGTTGCTGTGGGACTGTGTCACTGTGTCTGAGGGACCAGCACCAACTGACACAGAGGACTCTCCTCTGGGCTCAGCTCTGTGTTTGGAGGGCTTTGGAGTGGAGGGTGTCACGGGGGATTCAAGGTGGTTCAAAAATCTTTCTGTGTAGGAGGGAGAGGCCAGGAGCAGCACATTGATCTAACTGAACATCAACTTCATTCATATACACATTAAATAGCAAAGGATTCAGTTAGTTTGTCTCCAGTTTTAACAGCACACTTCCTTCCTAAATTCATTGATTAAACCAGATCATACATTTTGCCTCCTATATACTACAGTGTAGAAGTATATAATAGAATAGATAGATTCTTAAAATGTATGAAACAAGTGAAAATATAACATTGTTTTGTTTGGTGTACGTGGCGTTTAATTGAAGTGTGAAGGTTATATATATTAGTTGGTGGTCCGGTGTTTTGGGAGAGGGGCCAACTAGATTTGTACTCAGGAAGTGTTTGTCAGTATTTATAAATTTAGAATATTATAGATTAATTATCTGTCTCTACCTGCTTCTACGTGCCAGGGGTCACTAGCTGAAGCCATGGGGGAGATGGTCAAGGGAGAGGCTCCACAGTTGGATGGGACCAGAATCCCATGGGTGCTGACGGGTGCAGCCAGGCCTGAGCGCAGCGCAGCTTTCAACGGTGCCACACTGTTCCACTGAACTCTTGACAGACAGCCCACGAAGCCCGGCGTGTTGTAGCGCTCGATCAGGATGGGGTCAATCTGTCCCGTTTCTACAAGAAAGACACAACAACACGTTTAGGCCATTACAGAACCATTACAAAACTAACCAAGTGGAACTCTTTTCAGGGCCCAATGTTACCTTATAAAAGAAAACTTTATATCTCTAGTCAACCTTTATGCTGTGTTCACACCAAACGGACAGGAGTCTATGCAAAGTAGGGAATGGAAGAGAGTAGACGCAAATTCACTCCGGGCAGTGCGAATGAGGCAAATGACGTGACATGAATAAGGCGAACAGGTGAAATTTTGCATTCACCTCGAGTTGAAATATTTCAACTACAATGCTAGCATAGCCTAGCACCAATCGATCCGAGATCCATTCTGAAAACTAGCATTTTAAAAGTTGTTTGTTTCTCATCTTGTGGATAGACCTAATAAAGCATGAATTCAAACACTTTACAAAACGGCATCATTACGTAGTTATCTTGGCTTTTTTTCTGTTTATTGCAATTAAATCACAGCAAAATTGTTTATGTTGGATTCATACAGCTGCAGTAAACCAGCCGACATGTGGCTTGCTAGATACAGAGAATAAACCTCAATGAAATCCACGGAGCTCCTCCGGATGATGTTATAAACCAGACAAGGAGGCGTTTAGTTTCTCGGGATATCTGGGAGTTATAAATGTAGTGTATAATGAGTTATAAATGTAGTGTATAATGAGTTATAATTATTATACTCTTGTCCACATGACTGACTATTTACTTTCCACACACACGCCCCTTCTTCTTCTACGCTGCCAGCTCTCTGAGTGCAGTTTCCCGTGACTGCTCCCCCTCCTGGCCTTCCCTGTCATCAACCCCTTCAGTTGCAGCTCTCCCCATTCAGACTATTGTGACAGAGAGGCTGCCCCGTTCACACCGCATTCACAAAGCCATAAACAAAAACAACCTCAGCTACATCCCTCCCAGTGATGTTCATATCGGCTCCCAGCACAAGTTCATCATCTACAACCCCACTTCTGTCAATTCCATCCCGTCTCTGTGGACTCGGCATCGGCGTACCACCACTCCCTCATTACGTCATCATAACAAACAGCACGTGAATGCAGCCAACCTCAGAACCCTCCCCAAAACCTCACAACCAACCACAAAACACTCCATGAAGCTTGCTCTGTTCAACACTCGGTCACTAAGCAACAAAGGCCCAATCATCAATGAATTCATCACTGACAACAACCTTGATATCCTCTGTCTCACTGAAACTTGGCAAAAACACCTGGATTACTACGCACTCAATCAAACCACCCCAACTGTATATCATTACCTGGATAAACCACGCCCTGATGGCCGCGGTGGAGGAATTGCCGCTCTTCACCGCCAACATATCAAGACCAGACTGACTAACATCGACAGTCCACCCTCATTTGAACAGCTCACATTCAAACTCTCTGGTCCTAAACCCCTGGTCATTGCAATTATCTACCGCTCCCCCAAACCCAACCCTGCCTTCCTCTCCGACCTATCTGAATTCCTCACCCAGCTCTGCTCCGTCTCACCTTCCATCCTGTTGCTTGGTGATTTCAACATCCACATCGACTCCTCAGACTGCAAAACTGCCACAGAATTTCTGGACCTGCTTAAATGCTTCAACTTCACTCAACACATCGACTTCCCCACCCACAACCGCGGGCACATCCTGGACCTGGTCTGCTCCACTGAAATCACCATCAACCACCTCTCCGGCTATGACCTCACCATCTCCGACCATCTAGCCATCATCATGGAGATCGACATCCCAATCCCAGAACCCAAACTCACGCGCACCATCACTCTCCGAAATATCAAGTCTGTCTGCCCCTCATCCCTGTCAGCCTGTCTCACTGAAAATTCTCCACACTCTCCCCCTCCCTTAGCCCCTCCCCCTCAGACCTGGTCAACCTCTACAATAACACACTATCCTCCTGCCTTGATCAGCTTGCCCCTCTCAAAACCAGAACTGTCTCATTCACCCACACTGCTCCCTGGTTCACCCCTGAACTCCGCCTCATGAAATCCCAGAAACACAGATTAGAGCGCCTCTCCAACAAAACCGGCCTCACAGTTCACACCCTGGCGTACAAACTGGCTCTAAACTCTGCTCGCTCCACCTACTACTCTGGCATCATCCGCTCTGGTTCCACCAACCCCAAGGTCCTCTTCTCCACAATAAACAAACTCCTCAAACCTATGGACAATCTCTCCCACTCCTCCACAGCAGAGAAATGCAACTCCTTTCTGACGTTCTACAAAGCTAAAATCGACACCATCTACAACCAACTGGCCACTTCCAGCCCTGCTTCGTCCAACCCTGTATCTGCAAATCCTCCACTAACTGACCGGTCACTCTTCCGATACACTCTCCGAGTGTATAATGAGTTACAAATGTAGTGTATAATGAGTTACAAATGTAGTGTGTAATGAGTTATAAATGTAGTGTGTAAGGAGTTATAAATGTAGTGTATATTGAGTGATAAATGTAGTGTATATTGAGTGATGAATGTAGTGTGTAAGGAGTTATAAATGTAGTGTGTAAGGAGTTATAAATGTAGTGTATAATGAGTTATAAATGTAGTGTATGATGAGTTACAAATGTAGTGTATAATGAGTTACAAATGTAGTGTATAATGAGTTATAAATGTAGTGTATGATGAGTTACAAATGTAGTGTATGATGAGTTACAAATGTAGTGTGTAATGAGTTAAAAATGTAGTGTGTAAGGAGTTACAAATGTAGTGTATAATGAGTTACAAATGTAGTGTATAAGGAGTTATAAATGTAGTGTATAAGGAGTTATACATGTAGTGTATAAGGAGTTATACATGTAGTGTATAAGGAATTATAAATGTAATGCGTAAGGAGTTATAAATGTAGTGCATAATGAGTTATAAATGTAGTGCATAATGAGTTACAAATGTAGTGTGTAAGGAGTTACAAATGTAGTGTATAATGAGTTATAAATGTAGTGTGTAAGGAGTTATACATGTAGTGTGTAAGGAGTTATACATGTAGTGTAAAAGGAGTTATAAATGTAGTGTGTTAGGAGTTACAAATGTAGTGTATAATGAGTTACAAATGTAGTATATTAGGAGTTACAAATGTAGTGTGTAATGAGTTACAAATGTAGTGTGTAATGAGTTACAAATGTAGTGTATAATGAGTTACAAATGTAGTGTATAATGAGTTACAAATGTAGTGTATAATGAGTTA